ATCAGTTAAATGGCGAAAAATTATGTGTCAATTTCCTTGTGACCACTCAGTGTACAGAGCATGATATCGGAAGATATCGTTCCTAGCATCAGAGATTCAGAGTTGAAAACACAAAAAACGCCGGCAGTCGTTGTAACCCAATGATACAACTGTCAATGATATGGACATGTAGAGGCAGCATGTAAAGTTCTTACACACTGTGTGGGTTGTGGGGGAGAGCACAGAAATTCAGATTGCCCTAAAGAACACACAGAACCAAAATACTGTAACTGCCAGCAGCAACATACAGTAAACTACGAGGGATGTCCTAAGCATAAGGACATCAGAACATGAATCCTTTATATACAAAACAATTTCAAATGAAACACACACTCAGATTCCGAGAAAAACAGCTCTATTGCCAACACTAAAAACTACAGAAACCAGAACCATTAACGTACGCACTATTTTTTACACATATGTACAGGCCGCATAAATACAAAATCAAGAAACACATAAACAAATGAAGCAAACTCAACCTCAACCCACAAGCATTACTAAACAGGAACAACATACAATCGAAACAAGTCATGAACAATCAGTTAACTTAACTACAGATGCAGCCAAAAATACTTTCTTTGAATTCGTCACACAATACCGAAACCCACAAAATCACATTACTCATAAAAATAGCCAAACAACACTTCACACCATTACTACCTTACATAATACAACTATTAGTAAACCCAATAATAAAAACCCCGCAGAAAAAAAAATTACACAGGGCTAAAAAGCAAACAAATCATCCATATCCATACTATCTAATACAATAAATCCGACAAAATTCATGGACATGGCCCTGAAAAGGAAAGAGTATCAGAAACTACAAGTGAAATGCAATACTAGCACGTAAATTACCATATTCAAGCCAAAAATTAACAACAGTTCAGAAGGGAGGAAGAGGTATAAGGAGTACCCTCCCCTCCCAGGTTTACACAAAGACCTAAAGCACGATGCTGAAACGATGCGATAAAAGGAGGTGTGCTGCGGCGAAAAAGGTTTGGAAATACTGATTTTAATGAAGTAGTGTTTCAGCTAGGTCTTTCGTTACGTTTATATATTAGACCTACTGTTTAAATTATACATACTATTAGTATTACTAATTATTAATTAGACATTACTATTACTAACTGTTATTAAGTTTGCTAATATTTAGTTATATGTATATAAGTGTGAATGCATAGTATTCAAATTACACAATAAAAAATTAACATTTAAAGAGTACTTGCATATTTTATTACAACATGAAAAGAAAAATAGGAATGCAAAATACATTTCAAAATATATTATGCAGCATTAACTAAAATGCTTAAAACTTTTCAAATTTTTAAGTACGCTTTTTAACATTAGAAATAACGTAAACATTCTGGATATAGTCTTAATATGGAGAATAAACTTAAAAGTAAATAAAAAGACTAATGTGGTTTTCATGAATTAATATAAAAGTCATGAACTTTGACGTTGATACTACTGTTTTTCTACATATTACTATCTAATATATATAAAAGTCAGTTGCCATTTTGTGTGTGTGTGTGTGTGTGTGTGTGTGTGCATGTAACATTCAGTGAATGTCATTTTTAATTTAAGTTGCATCATTCTTGTAGATTTTTTACAGTGTACTTGAAATTTGTTATTTTCTCAGAGTGTGATTGTTTTTCCCTTTATGATCATAGGAGAAATTTGGTGAACAAAGCTCGCAGAAGGAAGGCCAGAGCTCCCAGTTTTTTTTTTACAGAACTCCAACCCGTTATTTGTTGACGAGTACGCCAGCTAGTAAGTATAATAATGAACACCTATTTGCAATACACACATCTAGCAATTTCAACTAGTGAAAATTATGTATTATCATTGGAACTGCTTGCGATGTGCAGGACTTAGCGCAAACAAATGAAGTGATGATACTGATGGCTTCAGTGTGAATACTACTTGTATTACACATATAGCCACGGCCTTGAGCATGGTCAGAGCGAATACTCGGACTGTTGGGTGCATATCCTGATCCTCATGTGTAATGAAATTAGTGTTTTCCCAGATATACAAATAGAAATTATAATCGCTTTAATCAAGAACTGAGGAGGGAGAAAAATATCTAATATACACCTGATATTCCCAGGTCTCTCAATAGGCCTAAAAGTAAAACCAGACAGGAGACAGATCATTTTGCACCCCAATGGCTCAGCGGTAAGTCAGTAGGTTTACGATACTAAACATCGGATTTCGGTACCCATTATGTAGCTTCTTCGCTGTTCTTGCTTATCAATAAACAATCAAATCATTGTATATCAATCACCCGAAGATGCCAGGTCAATCTGGTGAAGTGTAGTGTATTTACATCCTTCTAACTTCCAATAAACTCGAAGTTTATGTTATAAAAGTTGTTAATTTAATATATATTTGGCATCTTAAAACTATTTATAACAAGATGAGTTGTCAAATGCTTGAATTATCTAGTTATGTACTTTACTGCTAATTCAACACAAGTTACACAAGTCTCGTAACAGTGAAAATTGTCAGTGTCAGTTTGTTTACTTTTAAATTTAAAGTTTGATCTGCCCGTGCTTCAACAACTACGAAAGTTTTAGTCATAAACATTACAGATTAAACACAGCAGTACAAATGATATCCAAGGCAAAATTGTAACAACTTTGTTTTGAGCATATTTATTTCATTTATGGCATTAAATTTTTAGATGTTTCCTATTTCATGCTATAATTTAAGTTTCCTAACACAGACACATCGATAACAACCTACCTATCAAACGACGAGGCTTAGCTATAAAAAAAAGCGCTGTTAAATACAACTTTCTGTAATCCGCCAATGATACTAAGGGAACTAATAAGCTAAGCAGAAACAATAACTTTGTTAAACAAAGAAAATATTTTTATTAATTCTATGTATACTTAACGAATTTTCAAAAGATTCCTGAATATTTCCAGAATTGGGAAATTATCAAAACGAAATTATAAAACATTTCCAGATTTCAAGAACGCTATGTGAACCATGTCATACAAGATAATTAATTAACTTGAAGAACTAGTTAACATTCAAATCCTTTATTACAAGTATGTTAATAAGTATATTATACAATCTGTAACAAAAAATATGCTATCAAGTTTAAATTCAATACAAATAAGAAAAAAAAAAGTTGCTTCTTTGTAAAATCACAAGTTAGGATAATTTGAATAAAACTGTTTGAAATTCGAAATCTCTACAAATTTTGAAATGTGTAGTAAAATACATTGTTTCACAAATATATTAGTTCTACATGCTAATTTATAAACGATACTTATGCTATGTTAATATACTACTAACTTTTATCATTTTTGTCTGGTTTAACCTAATTGTCCTTTTTTATTTATTAATTGAGTTTAAGATTACAAGTGGTATGTCTGAACCTTTCATTAAGATCTGCTTCTCTGCTTAGACATTATTCAGCCAAACAGTAGATATAACATTGTAGTGTTTTAATATAAATGGTTAGCATTATTATTCTCATTATGTGTATTGTGATTTACAATTACTTATTTTATTTTGCTTTTTTTTGTTGAATAAACTTTCAACTTTTCCAAAAAACTATTGTAAGGAAAAAATAGCAAACAAAATCCCTCAATCCACTGCAAATATATTAGTTTCATCTTTTTTTACAGTACACAGAAAACACCACCATAATAGAAGTTTCTCTTTCTAAAGAAAGAACACATTTTCACAATAAAATGGAGAAAACATGAATACTACAGAAACAAGAACCAGACTACAATGAAAGAACATATTTTAATAACAAAATGAAAAAAAAAACATGAACACTACAGAAACAAAAACCAGACTACAAAAGGGTAAAAATTACCATTTACAATACTTAAGATAAAATTTGAAATTTTTGAAGTACATAACCCTATATTACATTAAATTTAATGCCTGTAAGTATGAACAAGGTTATATATTTATTAATTCACCCAATAATTTTAGTTGACTGAACAATGTACAAGTACTTACTGCTATTTCCACTACTAGCCATGATTATTAGTTTAAAAGGCTACTTCTCATTACAGTTTTGGTTTAAATTCGTATAAATATTCAACAGTAATCATTTACCTAATTCACCCTTAAAACATGTGAAGTATGGAATATAAAGAAAAACTTAATATAAAAAACACAGATATACATTTGGAAAGAGTTATAAAAGAAAACTTTCTTTTGTGTATAACACATAAAAGGAAGAGTTTAAAATATTTACTAATTGTAATGACTATATTTGAGAATCACCAATTACAGTTCCATCATGATTACTGAATGTACATTATACAGTCATGGCTTTAAAATGCATAACAGCTTAGCTATAACAAATTGAAAAATACTGCATATAAAAACTTAAAACATCCATAGAACAGACAGATTATGAAAAATTGTAAAGCTTAGGATAATGAATAAATTGTTTGTCCTATAAATTAAAACAAAAAGTTCTTAAAAATAAATTATAATAAATATTAACTTTGTGATTTTAATCTTAATTAAAAAATAAATCTTTCTTTGCCAAGGTAACTTATGTTTGAAAAATAAATTAATTCTAACAAACATCACACTAACAATTTTTTTTTCATATTTAAAATACTAAAATGCAGATAACATGAGAATTCAAAACAATCAGAAAACCTTAAACAAGATACTAAATGTACAATTTAACTTTGTTAACTACGTACTTAACAGATTTTCTGATATTTTGGATGTGTAGATTAAATGCAATTAATTTTCAACTTCTTTTGGGATCTTGCTAGGCTACCACCCTTAAGAAGTACTACCTTTTTTTTTAATATAAGTAACAGTTTTAAAAAAAAGGTGACTTTAAAATATTATACTGTCAAAATAAAAACCTTTTCCTTACCACACATGATTGAAAGGAACCAAGAAACTACAGGCACATTTCTAAGTCTTCTTCTTCTGTCTGGAAGAATGAGTCTGAGAAAGGAGAAAAAAGTATAAAGTACAGAATCTGCTTTCTCTTCTTATAGCTTAAGGATATATTGTTGATTAGTTTCTTACCCCAACAGTTACAACTGGTGATTACAACACAAAGTGATACAGTTAAAATAGCAATAAAGTAGCCAGGTCTTTACTTAAACTTCCCTCATCTTAAAAGGTTGAAGAAGGGATGAAGCAATTGCTTCTAATGGTTTTATGGCCTAAATTATTTTACTACCTTTTCTGCTTTTTTGTCCCACACAGTGGTATGCCATTATTTGGTTAAGACTGTAGTTGAAGATAAAAAGAAATATTCTTGAAACTTTTCCTTGTATTACCTAGTAATTAGTTAGGCTAAGTAATAGGATAGTTTTATAAGAAAAAAAAAAGATAAGGGAACTTGATGACAGGCCAGTCCAGGAGCCACAAATCTGTAAAACTGAGTGGAACCTTAAAGGCCTTGTAGTACAATTTTTGACCTTATATTTGAGAAGGGGAACATGTCAGCTGTCAGAAAATGTATCTCTTGATTCTCTTGGCAACAACATAACTGGCACTGTTGTGCACCCACCCTATGACCATACAAGTAGTGTATTTTGGACAGTGTAACACATCCAGGGTGATTGTAACTCCGTTAGAACTTGTATTCTATGTTGAGATACAGATGACAATCGTGTGCATAACACCTTGTTACTTCCTTTACAAACAAATACCAAATAGTTACAATAAGCTGCTGTTGGTATTTCTTAGGATGCCTTTTTGTACACACTAGTGTGGCATGTAACATAAATTTTATATAAATTCGAGGTAGGGTTCATCATTTTTAATTTGTTTTTAAATAAAGCTAGGAGACAAATTATCATTATTATGTTATGGAAATATATATTAGATTATGAAAATACATAGTTTTGCAAATGTTGTCTCAATTTTAGTGCTAGAAATGTAGAATTAGAGTAAAAAGTAAAAGTTGCTGAAATTAGACATACACGTGAGCCTTATTACATAGGAACAAATGGTAAGTAGAGTTAGGTGACTCATGTTTCACTTAAATATAGCTGAGAAATTATAAATTGTTTGGAATAATTTTCCAACAGATTTAGTGATGTTATATTAAGTGAATAGATGTTAAGTCTTTATATTAAAACATAAAATCAAAATGTCATTGCTTTCTAGTCTTTAGAGATCAAGAATGTTATGAAGTGTAGACTGTGTAGCCTAACTGTATCAGTTAATGACTAATCTTCAGATGATGAGATAGATTATGCACTTATTACCTGCTACTAAAGAGCTCCTGAGTCTAGTCAAATAAATTCATGCAGCTGCCTACATTTGCTTCAAAAATTTTACATGATACTTCATTGTAATACAAATGCAAAAAAAAAAGAAAAAAATTACATTATTAAAGCCTAATATTATGACAAAAAGTGCAAAGAATTTATACATACATATTAGTCTGAATCATTATATTGTTACAGTCCTAAGCTACAGATACACTAGTTTTCCATAAAATAAATACCAAAATAATGTTGGCTGTTGCACCCCATTCCCAAATTGGTTGGAACAAATAATATAAATTGCATAGAGTCATTTGACATTAATGCAAATTTAATATCAGTAAAGACTAAATAAATGTATTGTGAAAAATCCTTGAATTTATTATAATGTTAAAAAAATTCTGGCAAGGCAAGAGTGTTAACCATCAAATATGGTCAGGCCTGGGAATGAGAATAGTAGTTGCCTCCCCCTTGCACCTCATATTTATTCTGTGACTAGTATATAAAAATAAACTTTGGCCACAACTTTATATGTAACAGTTTCTAAAGATAATAGACATGCATTGGAACATAATATATCAAGTACTTAAATCCACTCTGTCTTCCTCAGTCTGATAAAAATACTCTAGTTTTATAATAATGGGAGGATACCAAAATTGTCTGTTGTGTTATTGTGCAAGATAATCCAGAAGTTTCAGATACCTGAGATGTTCCTCTCATCAAATATAATTTAAAAACTTTACTTAACAGGAAGAACAATATTTTGTAAAATTCCTGGTCTCAGCCCCTAATTTACACATTCACTGCAGCCGTCACTTTTAAGGGTTGGACTTTTTTCTTCTGTACACTGAAGCTGTGCTGTATATGAGATTTTGTTGATATTGAGAGGGATAATGATGGGAAAAGACAAAAATTATTGGTCTATTGTTTGGTAACAATGCTTGGGTGGATGAAGAGTGCTTCAATATTCATAGATACCCCTCACCAGTCCACACAGGATATATAAAAATTAATCCCATATATAGCACATTTGCAATTTACAGAAGAAAAACTCCAACCTGTATCCATGACAGCTGTAGTGAATGGGTTAAATTTAATTTTTGTTGTATTCCTCAGTACATTCAAATCATTATTATTCAATATCATATGGGAAATTGAAACAAATTCAAGTGATAAAACTCCTAATTTTGAAAAAGCAATAAATTAAGTCATATAAATAATATACTAGCATGGTGTAAGAAATCAAATATTCATAAATACATATGAACCAAAACATTGTAATATATGGTAACAAACAAGTTGCAATAAAGTAAAAACTTAGAACTGCACAATTCATATTCATACACAGTAAGATCTAGATATTTGTAAAACAAAAAGTGCCTGATTACAATCATGGTAGAATAAATAATAGTATAACTAATGATTGTATTCCGGTCCCTTATCAAAATAACTTTAAAAAACGGAATGGTTGTTTAGATGTAATCAATAAACTGTCTTTTCTTCTTAGTTCTCAAATATACAAGAGCTTAAAATACTGCCAGAGAAACCTACTGAAGAAAAGTCAAACATTTGTTTTATAAAATTTGGGTTATAGGTAATTCATTTTGTCCTAAAGTTGTTAGGAGACATTTGTTACATGCAATTAATAACCCTTCAGAACAAAAAGTTTCTTTTATTAACTTTGATGTGCATTACTTAGGATTAGCTTTAAAAAATCTAATAATGCAATACTTCAGTTTGTGATTACATTTGTGAATCTACTAACTAGGATTTATGTTGCTTATTTTTTCATGAGGTGTCTTGTATAGAAAATAGCATACTGTTTTTTATTTCAGTATGCTGTGCAATCACTGGTAAAGTTATATTTTTGCTTTGTTTTTTACAGATGTAGCTAGGATTACTAGGGAAAAAGTAAAAGCTGGATGAGCATATCATTAACTAGTAGAGTTGATCAATTAATTAAATTTAATGAAAGTCACATAAAATAATCAGCTAACAGAAATGACTGAATCGATTTATGTCATTAGACTAATCAACTAATCGAAAACAGGGTTTTTGATTATTACTATTCTAAATTATTCCAACCATCCAAGTAATCAAAGAATATTGATGTTATGACTTCTTACTATTATTTTGGATTAATTCAAGTTGTTCAACTTAATCTATTAGTCTCATGACTTAAAAATAATCAACTAAGAAAATTAGGGTGTAAGATTATTATTATTATTTTTCATTCTCCAAATATCCATGTAATCAAAATATTGTCATTATATTGTTTTTATTAATTCAAGTTTGTTAAGCTTTGGGTTAGCATGATTAGGAGATTAGGAGGTCTCAGCTTTGATATCCAATAGTCGAAAGTACGTCAATTCAAGCACACCTTAAAATGTTGTTACAGATACCTGCAGTACAACAATGTACAGAGCAATACTAAAGATCATATACTTGTAGATTATAGCTGCCCTGTGAGTGATAATATTGCAACCATAAGAAAAAATGGACAAAACAGTTGATCATTTGACCACAGCTATGAAAAAAGTAAAATTTTCATAACAAAAGAAAATATGTTTGAAGCAAACTGTTATTTCATTGTGATTGTGCAAGATTTAAAAAAAGAAAATTTAATATCCACCAATGGTTTTCATATGTTGAACAATAAATTTTAGAAACCTTTAAAAAAGCATTGCATATTAACTGGAAAAAGAAATAGACTCTCAAAGCATATCCTACATTTTTGCAGTCTTTTACCTTTACACTACAGTTTTACTTCACCAAAGCCTACAATTTTGTATGATGTACTTTCACTCTTGCTCCATCACATTAATCTGTTATTTGAATGTGATATCAAAACATTTAATAGGACACCAGGCTTTACACAAAAAGCATTTAATGCATTACAACAAGTGGCAAAAAAGTAAAAGAAGAAACCAGTAGCAATTTCTGCTTTAATGCTACATGAAGTAGCCACAAGAAAATGTGTGGAGTGGGATAGAAATAAATTTTTTGGTTACATTGATGTTGGTACAGATACAGAAAGTATTGGTGTTTACAATTGTTTCTCTAAACAACAACTAGAAGGTGCCTGTTCAAAACTTCTTTATTAATGGCATGACAAGACAAGAATGAAGAAATCTGGTGAGAATATGCCTTAAGAAAATGTAAGATGTTAAGACTGAAACCGTGGCACTTTTTCATGATGGTCCAAGTTGCCACTTCTCCGTGTTCCACCACAGCAATGAAAAAGGCAAACTTTATGTTATACTTGATATATGTTACACACTAAAGATTATTCCAAACACTTTTTCCCATGAGAAAATTTTAAAAATGGAGATTGTGAATATATTAAATGGTAGTTCATTACTGACTTGCACAAATTGCACCTATGAAATAAATTAAGATCATAGCACATTCAATGGTAGAAGCAGAAAAGAAAGTTAACTTTACAGAACAAACATTAAGTTCATGTGTGATAGATGCAATAGAATTTTGAAAGAAAGACTTGAACTTACTTAAATTTAAGGGAAGTGAGCCTACAGTTAAATTTATAAAAACATTTGATAGACTGATTTGTTCAACTCCAAAAATCCATTGGCTAAAAATTACAAGAGTCAAGTGAAAATTTCCAGCAAGTCATTTTGGAAACTTTTTGTAGTAAAAATAAACAGAAAATTTTATTTTTTTAATTAACAGACTGCAACTCAACATAAAGCATCATTTAATGGGTTTCTAACTGCAATCTGTGCAGTAATAACATAAATTTTCAGTGTCATCATCATCACCCTCTTTGAAGTATCGTTTGACATATAAATTAACCAAGGTTCACTTAGAACTTTTTTTGCTACTTTTAGTTTATCTTGCAGTTGCAATAACAACCCTACTATTCCACATTTCATAGCTGCATATATATGTGTATATATATATAAACTGCTCATACATTATGAAATAAAAGAAAGAAACCACTACCGAGAATGAAACATCAATTTTTCATGTCACAAAAGATCACATGGCACTTTCTAGTGTTTCTGCTGATGCTTTAGACATTTGTTTGATATGTACATATGTTCTAGAAATATGTGAGCCAATACAGGATAACAATGATTACTAATATACATGAACTTTAACAAAAGGAAGCAGTTGCAGAATGCATGGCTGATTATGGAGTCACAATGGCACAAAAATATAATGTATGTACAGATTGTTTAGAGGTCTTGACAGGTGAAAATTCTAGAAACCTGTAAATTTTACAACAAAGAAAAAAAAAAGATGTGATTTGGTAAAGGGTAATCAAGGTATGCCATGTGCAACAAAGTTTTGAAAAATTCCATTAGTTAATGAATGGTGAACTTCCTCAAGCAAGTACAATTAGCCTTGGAATATAGATTGCTGTTTCGAAAGTAGTAGTTTTGAATTTTTGTTCTCTCTAGTTTAGATAGGCACATATCTGTACAACAAATAACCTTGTTTAGTTTAATAAAGTGTTTAATTACATGTTATATAGAAATATGAATACATTGCCTTGTGAAACAACAATATGCAAGAGATAAAAACCTTTAATAGCTAATTTTATTTACACTTTAGTAGTTTGGAATTATATGGAGTATAAAAATGTTTGTGCAACATACAAGATGTATAAGGTGCTGCTTTACAACTTTTCGAATTTTTTTAGCATATTTATCAACTAATTATCTTAAGTTGTGTTTGTTTTCTTTGATTTTCGTGCAAAGCTACACGAGGGCTATCTGTGCTAGCTGCCCCAAATTTATTGAAATAAAGCAGCTAGTCATCACCACCCACCGCCAACTCTTGAGCTACTCTTTTACCAACGATTAGTGGGATTGACTGTACATTATAACGCCCCTAAAGCTGAAAGGGCGAGCATGTTTGGTGGGATGTGATTCGAACCCGCGACCGTCAGATTGTGAGTCGAGCGCCCTAACCACTTGGCCATGCCAGGCCTATACAAGTTGGGAATGCGATAATAAATGCATAGATTGTACTATATCTTACCTAATTTAGTACATATCGTAAATAAATAATAGGTTAAACAATCGTTTTTTTTTTTTGTGTATATATTTATTTTAAGAGGATGACCTTTCGAGCTATCGCTCTTCGTCAGATCGTACCACTACCAGCTTAGAACATGAGGAAGAGCGCTTGTGTTTATAAATTATACTGTACTTTCTACTTTACCATAGACTTATATAAACTTATACCCAAATTTGTAATTTTATTATCAATGTTAATATAGTAGTCCATAATAAATATGATTTAGTTCTCCACGATATTGTCAGTTACTATCTTTATTTTTAACTTTACAATACCAATTCTACAAACAAGTATTTCTGCAAGTTACATAGTTTTCTTTTCTTGTTTTCATAGTAACTATACAAACTAAAGAAGTATTATATAAATTAATGTATACAAAGTGACGTGACAAGAAATACTGTAAAAACTGAGGCCGCCAAACTGAAAGAATGAAATGATCACAAAGCATTCAACCGCTACATAGATATCCTTGTCATTATTAACTAACGCGGTTACACTAGACAGTTTAATTAACGACCAACAACATGGCTGCTGCTCGGTGTCAAATGTCAGTTAATACAGTGACACTAGCTAATACACAATCCAGTTCAGAATAAAGATCAGTGCTTTCAGTTTCATCGGTGTCGAACTCGCAGACTTTGACACTCGCAAAACATTATTTTTGCCCATTTCGTCCACATAGTTATCGCCAACAGTGCTGCCAATCTTTTAATGTTGTGATGATTTGTTTGTTTGAAGTTAATCATAAAGCTATACAATGGGCTATCTGTGCTCTGCCCACCAAGGGTATAGAAAACCCGGTTTCTAGCGTTGTAAGTCCGCACTCATACCGCTGTTCTACTGGGAGAATGTTGTGATGAATTCCAATTGTAAATCTATTAATCAATTTTCACCAAACAATCAAAATATAAAATTTGCATGGCTCAAGCATTTTATTAATTAAGGTAACAAAGTAAATTAAAAATACGAAATATATATTTTATTTTTCACTGTCTTAGACGAGATTATGATGATTCTATCCGGAAGTTTTAACTTTTACAATATTTATTAGACAAATATTATAAAAATGTACTCCGTTAAAGAGCATACTAAATAGGTTACGATTTCAATATGGCCTTCATAAGGCCCAGGAGAAATGTTATTTGTGGAAATTCGACGGACCCTATGAAAAAAGGCCCAACCTTAAAAATCCAACACCTTTTCCTTCCAAAAATGACTCGGAACATCGTCACTTAAATGCTGGGGCGCGTCCCCTGGGAGTGGGGGTGCTCCAAATCTTTCAGGGGGTACGAAAATGTGAATAACGCTGTAGTAAGTTACAAATCTAATAATTTTGAAAATATATTACAAATTAATACCCTATTATTATTATTTTATCTTATTTTTAACCACGCTTTTAAGGGGCAGGTTTTCGCGTGAGCATGTTTCGTAATGGGCCCACCCACAGTACGTAGCTTTGAACGAACTCAACTTGAAATTATGTCAGGCAAAAAGTTGGCATCTTAATAATCATAACATGTATACATTAAATTTTATTAAAAGAAAGTCGTGTTTTTATTCTATCATTATTATGCTAATTTTCCAAATAAGCCTTAGTGGACAATATTTGTATGTTGCTTTATACTACAGTACTTTTACACAAGTTTTACGTTTTTGTTTTTCCAAGACACAGAATTTGAAACAGCGATGCATGTTTCAGTTCATTGATGGAACTTATGAGGAATTAATAGGTTAACACTATCGTTTCCTTCAAATATACACGTCTCTTAGCACATAATTATTATCATATTACACACTAATAACTTATATTAATGATAACTGACTGGTTTTCTACTTACGTTTCGTTCAGTTACTTTTCTATCTTGAACTACAGTGTTTGATGTAGCGCAAAAGTCACATGGTATATACAAGATGTTTATTCTTGATTGGATTGTGACGTACAGTTATGTTAGTTATTATAAGCATGTGACATAACACAAATACTGAGCTACGGTGTATAAATACTTCACTGGGGAGGTAAAGTAAGAGTTTTTATTACCAGGGGTCTAGGTTGATAGTTTATATTATTAGTATTGTTTATAGGTGGTAGTATGTCGTAAACAATATTGCTTTCCATTGTATTTCAATAATATGATAATCCAGCAAGAACCAATCATCAGACCGTTAACTTATCTAGTGCTGAAGGACTCGGAAGGTGGTGTGAGACTCGTGGATTTCAAGCTCCCACATACATATCTTCTAATCAAATTAACTCGTAAAATATTAATGTCTCAACAACCCCCACACCCTTTTTATTGCTCTTACTGATCATTTATTATCTTTGACGTAAGTTTAGGTTAACTACATTCATAGATGATCACATGCCTTTACACCAAAAATAAAAATTAATTTTTTATAAAACAACGTACACAAAATGTGGGGTGGAGAGCACACAAACGTCTTGTATATATCCACGAGATCGCATTAACCACTATTGCAATAACACAAACTCTGATGAAGTTTCTATTCCAACAGCCACCATAAGGTTGTTAAGATGAGCCATTTCTTGGGTTATACCCACTTCCTACTTTGATCCGTGACTTTTCAACTTCAACCCGTAAAACACTTCTATGGCCAATGACTGCCAATTAATGGGTGTTGAAAGCGGGTAACAGAAATCACCCCTACGCCACTAGTTTAGTCGCTACCTCTTCCTGCAAAGTCCCCCTAACCATCGAACAGTGTATACCATGTTTTAAGTATCTGTGTGAGTGTGATATGCTATAAATAATCGGTGTGAAAGCTAGGATTTTTGTTATTTATCATAGAATCAACATTTCAAAAGTTCATAACCCGAACAAAGGACTGGTACCTCGGCTTGTATTTTATAGGTCTGAAGCTACAAGTAGTATGGGCAAATGAATCTCCGCCTATATCAAGTATTACTTCCAGTAATGCATACCAATTAAATAGTACATATAGTATTTGTCCGTGGAAAAAATACATAACTTGTAAACATAAGAATATAAAACCTACTCGTACAGAACGAACATCAGCAGGTAAATTGGAATAATCCTTGGTTAAGCATAAAAGATAGAAAAACTGAGTCTAAATGAAGAGATCTAAACTGGAAAATGACATCTTTGAAAGAAGGTTGCACCCTTTTTTTTCACGATTGTTGCTTGTTTTCAAAGGGTTTTCTTTGTTTCATTTTTTTTTCATCAAATAATACAGAATTTATGACAAATAATAAAAAAGGGCAAAATGAATTAACTGTGTATATATCATTTTTTTAATCAGAAGTCTTCTTTTTATGATCGCGATAATTCTTTACTTGGCTTAATTTTGTAAGCACCCAAATTCCTCAACTTAGGTTTAATATCGCACATACTAAATGCTCTTGCTGTCTAAGTATCCAAATGGCAACACTTTCTATGACTTCAGATTTATAAACGTGTAAGAGAATAGTTCCAACATCTTTAACATAAAACTGTTGGCTTTATCAGTGTCCTTTTTATCACGCTGATTCCTGGAGGGCTAATCGTGTATTTAAATGAAATTAACTTCCTGCTTTGGTGTATAAGATGTAAAGCAGCTTATGAAAACCAAAGGAAAAGTGTTCCCGTGACCACAAAATGAGTGAAAGCGAGAATGGGATACAACATTCATCAATCGGTGAGTATGGAATTTGAGAAGAGATGGGCGCTGGACGAGTCGTGTATCTTACAGAATATATGGGCATTCGTAGACCTATAGTTCGGAGTGACTTAATTTCGATATGTTAATGCAACCAATACATCTTTCTTCTAAGTGTCGACATAGGAGTCTGACTGCCGCGTACTAACGACAGTTGAAAACGGAAGTTCGTAATATATTTCGTATAGTTGATCTACAAAGTACAAGTTCGAGGTTAAATGGAACAATGGACCGTAAAAGCAGAGACTTTGTCTATGTAGACGAAGTTGTAATTGGTGAGAATGTGGAAAATGCCTTTATTTATGACCGTGTGTGTAGTTCACTTTCCTTACTATTTTTCTGTGACAAGAACCCAGACCCGATTTAAATTGGTACTTTAAGATACATAAAAGCTAACAACCTAAACACTGGGTGTTTCCTTGCAGTTTACGTCTCAGTCTAGTGTTTAGTTGCATCGTATAGTTAGGATGGTTAGGAAAATGAAATTTAGCTGTAAAAATAGTAGATTATTGTATAAGGCATTGTGTGGGGCGACTGTTATCTCAATACCAGTACTAGAATGTGCTTAGAACAAATATCTAAGAAAATTTTAGGTAAAAAGGAATAAACTTGTTGCTCACAGAAACGAGCAATCTAGCTAAGATTCACTGCCCATCATGTGACTATCATTTATCCTGTGTTGTTTTGTACCACTTATCACATAGAATTTCAAACCGGGACACAACCTTTATTGATAACAAAAACACTTGTTCCTAAACTAAAATGCCACCATGTCAATACTTACAGGTATCTGCATTGTGACAACGTTCGGGTTGTTACCGTGACGCATCCCCTGTGCGAACAGATGCAGGTGTCAGTATAGTGGTAAGAACACTGTCGGGAAAGCGGCCTCTGTGTATGCGGGCACAAATTGTCGCCCCCCCCCCCAGTGGAAACTCACACAGGGCCAGTAATGAAAAACTTTGTTACAAATTATTATCAGTCTGATTGTGATATCACATAAAATACCACAATATTAGATATCTTATGGCCCCCCCAGTAGCACAGCGGTAAGTCTGCGGACTTACAACACTAGAAACCGGGTTTCGATACCCATGGCTGGCAGAGCACAGATAGCCCATTGTGTAGCTTTGTGCTTAATTACAAACAAACACAAATGTGTATACTATAGTGGCCTTTATTATGGCATTTTTGCTGTGTAAACAGAGAGGGATGTTTGTATGGTGATGCTGCCACTGTGTTAACATTTACTAAGTTGGATACATTGTAGAACTGAATGGCGGTGTTGACTAGTTGCATTCCCTCTAGTCTCTCACTTCTAAGTTGTGGATGTCTAGCGCAAATAGCCCTCGAATAGATTTGCACGAAATTGATCAAAAACTATGTATATAAATAATACATAAGATGAGCAAGAACGAAACAACGTTAATACAAGTATGTTAGAAAAAGTGTTTATATAAATTTAGCAAAGGCAAATTTTTGCTAAACACATTTTCGTTTTCAACATATTTTCGTATATATTGATAAATGTTTCTATTAACTGACGTCACAATTAACCGCCTGTAAATAAATTATCTTGAATCCGTATATACGCAATATCTGTTTTCACAGTACTTTTGTAGGCTATATTTTTAAAGTTGCAAGTTGTTAGCTGGAGAGAGCTGCGAGTAGTAATTCAAAGTGATATATACTTGAGCTTCTTATTACTAACGAAAACTATGATTGGCCTACTCATAACGCCCCAGGGCTAAAAGGGGTTAACATGTTCGATGTTGGTTTGTTGACCATAAAATATCGCGTTGTATTTAAATTGTAATGCTTGAGTTTCTGCTTCTTGTAGTAATGTACAAATCTCTTCTTCACGTGCCCAGAAGACACTCATATGCACTCGAAATCCTTGGCGTGTGTGAGGAGGTGGAGAGGGGTACCTTTCTTGCTTTTGAATTTCCCAACTCAGCAGGGCAGAGTCCTGTGAAAGCACTTCCAATAAATTGCTGTTCGTAGTGTATAAATAATTTTTGCCCAATTAAGGTGAACAAATATTTCAAAAAATAGCAATTTTAAAGACCAAAATATAGGCCAAAACTATCGACTTGATAGCATCTATAATATTTTCTAAGTTGTTGGTGTTTCTTTCAATTTTTTTTACATAATTATAACGCTAGAAACCGTGTTTCAATACCCGTGGTTGGCAGAGTACAGATAGCCCTTTGTATAGCTTTGTGCTTAATAATATTACTTCTCCATTTGTTAATTAACTTTCCGTAACTTCGTTCCCACGAAACGTTAGCGACACAAGTCCTTACTTAATAAAACTGGTTTATTCTTTCCGAATATAACTTTACGATACACTTAATTTCAACGATCGCGCTAAAACAAACGCTATAACAACGAACGTGCTCAATAATACTCTCTGACTGCAGATCAATTACTCACTGTCTACACACACATTATCCCGTCACGTTGTCACCCTCTTATATATATATACCAGACTACCCT